GAAAGGCACCTGGGTGGCTCAGTCGGTTAAGTGTCTGACTTCAGCTCAGGTCACGATCTCAGTTTGTGAGTTTGAGGGCATCGGGGTCTGTGCTGACAGTGTGGAGCCTGCTTTGGATCCTCTGTCCCCCCACTTCTCTTTCCCTATCAAAAATAAACATTAAAAAAACAAAACAAAATACCTTATTTCTTTTCTCTATGGCCTCTGGTTCATCAAACATCCAGGGAATAATTTTAGGGTTAGTCATTATTTGCCCTTATCATAAGGGTTCTTAGTTTTTTTTTAGTTGAAATACACTCAAATTCTTATTTTTTAAGTACTTACATAAGTAATAACATGAGTCTAACTGAAGGGGCCAATGATGAAAACTGCTAAGCACACATATATGTCACCTAAACACTGATTAAAAACTTAAAAAAAAATTTAATAATTTCCATATTTTCTTGATTTTTACAATTGAAAAATAAATCTGTGTTCTCACAAAGAGTTTTAAAAATATAGCATGTTTGAATTACAAATGATTAACAAAATCCTGCATTTCGTTCCTGCATAGTAAAGTAGGCCAGAAGTCAATGGGAAGGTATATTCAAATCAAAGGCAGTTTTCATTCTAAAGGCAAAAATCTTCATAGGAATTGATTTGTAATCTTCTGCAATTACTGCTATAAACGTCTCCATCTGTGATACACCAATCCCCTCTCATGACCGATGGAAGTCAGTAGGAATTGCTGGGAGGCATACCCTACAATTTAGGAATTGGTGTGGCTGCCACTGCTATGCTTTCAATTGCACACTCATCGGTTCCTCTGCGGATCCGGAAGTAACCATCTTCGCCCCAGCCAATGCCCCAGCTGTTTTTAACAATCCAGTAATCCATCCCAGACACTGGGTCAGTGCCATAGCCCACCAGCAAGACGGCATGATTAGTCAGCTCAAAGGGGTTGAAAGGGTCTCTCAGACCAGTGTGGTAGTAGATCCCCTTGCGGTAGTGGAGGAAGTCATTGTAGACTTCAAAAGCAACTGCCATGGGCCCGTGGTGGACCAGTTCAAGCTTCATCAGGGCTTCGTTGCAGCCTCCATAGAAACCTCCCACATAGTGGTACTCGGAGGAGTAGTAACGGACGCAGTCCTCCTTCGGTTTGCATGGAGAGTCTGTGCCTGTGTAGGGGAAGCATGCCTCTTCCACCAGCCCAAAATCTTGAGCGTATTTTCCTGCAATGAGGTAGGGGAAGCCACCATCACAGCCTGAGGATGAATAACACACATTAGAAAGAGGCAGAGGAGAAAGTGTCCCATTTCCTATTTTTCCTTTTCTACTCCATTAATTTTTTGTTACCCCCAAGAGTTGTTCTTAGTTTAAATGCTACTTCATTCATCCATTAGCCACATAAGCTAACTACCCTCTCATCCCCATATAATTAACAGACATTTATTTGGCACCTGACATGGAAGGTAGCTATAATAGCACAGTGGTTGGGTGGGGAGGCTCTGAAGCCTGACTATGTAGTGAAGTTCAGATCCAAAACTGTGAAGAATTTAACTTCTCCATATCTCTGTTTACTTATCTGTAAAATATGGATAGGAATAGTACCTTCCTCGTAGCACTGGTTACTACATGTAAAAGCAATAAAAGTTGGCTATTATTACCATCATTGTTAAATAGCCAGACACCACAATGTGGCTCTTCCTGAAGGAAGTCTTCTCTGACTACCTACTGCAAAAAAAGTCTAAATCAGGTCCCCATCACCTGCCTCCAGTCCTTACCTTATTATAAACATCCATTAACGTGTATTTTTTCTTCACCGTTCTTTTCATTACTTAATTTCTACCTTCCTCACTTAAGTGTAAGGTTCATGAGGATGAAGGACTGTCTTGATACTTACAGTTCCCAGGGCTTAGAAGTTACAATGTTGGGGTTTAATAAGTATTTCAAAAAGAACAAGAGGCTCAATGACAAATAATCATTCCTGGCAGTTTCACTCTCTACTGGCCCAATCTGGTGTTGACAGAAAACTTTAACCTGAGAATGTTTCACTGTCAATCAGTTGCAGCTGGGCTTTCTACATAGATTACCCATGCCCTGTTCTGAAAGCCCACTTTCAGAATTTTAGTTTCCTCCTAGAGAGAAACCAGTATTAGTATGGTTTTAATACAAATTACATTTTGGGGTGAGACTTTAGCTGGAACTGAAACTTTACTGTTTAGAAGCGGTGTGGCCTTCAAAATATTACAGAACTTTGTGTCTGTCCTGTTTATAAACAGGGATATCTACTTGTCAAGGTTTCGAGCATTGTTAGATAATGTCCATAATAGGCTCCTAAGAGCTAGTGCGCATTCAGTACATAGTAACTAGTGACATTTTGCTGAATGGTGCAGTGAGTTCCATGAGAATCACTCATGAATAAGTGATAGGGCCAGAACTTGCACCTAGGTGCTCTGACTACAGACAGTGTGCTCTCTACTACACTATCCTTTTACCTTTGCCAACAATGGCCTACTACACCCAGGTAAAAAGGGCTTGAAATACATCACTTACCTTGAGCATACTGGCTGCAAGAGACAACCTCCTGAGGGCTCAAGATTGGGGTCTGAGTATTGTTGGTTAATATACGAATTCTTGCTTCTAGCATACCCATGGAAGCAAATGAGTAGCAGCTGCCACAAGATGCTGGTGATGGAAAAGCAAGATATATAACCCAAAAGAACTTTGAAGCACTTACAAAGAAACACAGAAATATGTGAGTGGAGAGATACAATTAACATATTTACATTGTGTGCTGCTGTTGTGATAAGAATCAGCCCAATATAGAAGATTCAATAGACAAACACTATTAACCTTATAGACAAATGTTAGGATGTCAGCTTTCAAAAGGCCAAGGTTACTCTATGGGGCTTTCCGTGAGAATATTTTAGGAGGCAAAACAAAGCAAAACGAAACCAAAAAACTCCTCTAATCTCTGAAAAGAATTTGGTACTATTCCTGGTAATCAAGAAATAATGTATGTCTGTAGCATTCTGAGCCATTCGGTTGAGAAAAACTATGAAGGGACACATGTGAGCTGAGCTTTTAAATATCTCCAGAGCAGCATTTTCTAAAGCTACTTGTTGGGTGGAATTAACACTAAGAATGGCTCAGGTATGGGTGTATTATAGAAAGTTCAATTTAACCAGGGTCGAGGAGACAAAATACAACAAAGTCCAAGAAAAGGTAAGAGAGTAATTATAGTGACAGATATGGTATTTAAGGTGGCCAGTGAGGAAGTAAAGGTATAAGGAATATGGAGGTAATGAAATTGAAAACAGACTGGTTCTAAGGGGAAAAGGGTAAGAGCAATACAGTCATGGTCCCCTGAGAAGTGTCACCCAGAGGAAAGAGGAACACGAAAAGTAGCTGGATAGAGGTAAGGGAGAAGGGAAAAGAGAACTGCTTTATTTAATACCCAGATGTCCTGGTGAAGACAAAATTAATTTATTAAGAAGCAAATGCTAGGGATATAGTTGCTCTTTCAAGAGAAAAAAATGTCTTATTATGAGGTAATTTATATGAACAACATCATTTTTCTACATTTCTTTAACAGGTGTGAGTAAACATATAAATACATTTAAAAAAATATTGCACATGTGACAAAAATGGGATTTCAACTTGTTACATTCTAGAAAAAAAATGAACATAGTTTTAGTATCTCTATTATACAGCCTCTTTCACCTCTGCCACTGACACAAATTCTACATAGAGTTAGGCTTGCAACAAATCAAAAATATTGGTATAAATGTAGTTACACACAATTGATATTATTCAACGTACTAATATATTATTTACCAAATTATTTGAATGGTGAGCACTCCCTTATGCACTAAAATAAGATTAATGAATAGACAATATTACATTAAAAAAATCCATTTCACATAAAGAGTATGTTGCCTTCTCTTTAATAAACCTGAAATTAGTAAAATTTAGTAACTGCCTTCCTTAGAGAGAAAAGTATCCAAAACAACATTAAGTATTAGATTACTATCTATCGGGACACTGTTCTTCCCTTTCACCAGGTGATGCTGATTCACAATTGTCCCTGAGTACAAATGAAAGCCAGGATACTCTACGCTCAGCCCCTAACATCCTACACTCCAGCTGAATTACTTATACCGTTTTCCTCAAACTGAACTGTGAATTTCCATGAGTGTACATAAGAAATGTGCCTTCTTCATCTAGCTGCCTGATGCAATCAAGAAACTCAATGCGTGTTTGTAGAAAGAACATTCCAGTTACTAACAAGTGGATATAGATTTACACCCAGGGGAAAAAAAGTGACTTCATTGGTAGTAGTCAACCTTTACTTGTTTCTAAGCTATAAGGGAGGCAGAAACCTAGACTCTACTGTGAGTCCTCTCCAGTAGTTAAACAATACCACATGTCCTTGACTAGAGTCCATTAGAACTCTACTACCCTTTAACTGCTACCATTTCAGATGTTTCCCAAACTTCTCCCTATAAACATCTCAGATTTATCCATACCATATACTGCTTTTACTGCTAAGAGATCTCCTAAATGATGAAGATTAGGACAAACACTTGGAAGAGGATCTTGAATTCACCTGGTGTAGTACCCACTTGATAATGGGTATGTTGAAACTCAGAAAGAAGCAATGATCTGTTCAAAGTCACAAAATGAATAGATGGCAGGTGCTAGTATCTAAGCGTCTCCTAAGGCAGGTTGTGTTCTTTTCAGTTCATATGTCTGCATCTACTTGAAAGAATTTTCAAATTTTCTTTCCTGTCATCAAGTTACTAAATAGGCCAAAATTAACTTGAACATTTTGTTTTTGAAACCATCTAAATAATGCTATCCTTGGGACCCCTCTTTCAAATGATAGAGTGTCAGAGAACTAGATCAGCAACAGTAAATAGATAAAGCCAGTGTTCTTTTCAAGGTACACTTGTAATAAATAACATCCCAAGAATAGGGAAATGGCCCCATTTTGATCATCCAGCATTCTTGGGCCATGGGTATCCACAGAAACAATGACTCTTGGTACTAACCATTGAACCTTCATCTGACCACCTAGCACTGTGGGAGCGATAGGCCACATGTACATTCAAAGGCTCAGGTAAGGACAATGAGGTAAGGACACAACCTTCTTCAAGCCATTGACACTCCCAGAATAATGTGTCAGCTGCCAAGGAAATTAATGCCTTTTAAAAAGTTAAGACTAGGGGCGCCTGGGTGGCTCGGTCGGTTAAGCATCCGACTTCGGCTCAGGTCATGATCTCACGGTCCGTGAGTTCGAGCCCCGCGTCAGGCTCTGTGCTGACCGCTTAGAGCCTGGAGCCTGTTTCAGATTCTGTGTCTCCCTCTCTCTATGCCCCTCCCCTGTTCATGCTCTGTCTCTGTCTCAAAAGTAAATAAACGTTAAAAAATAATAATAATTAAAAAAAAAAATTAAGACTAAAATGTAGATTTTAAAAGAACCATTATTCCTTAAGACTACAGGGCAACAAAGAATTAAGGGGGTCTGACCCAGACAGAGCTTTGCAGTAATCAAATTTCCACCAACTCAAAGAGCTAATGTGATTTCCATATGGTTTAACTATGTTCGGCTGCCCCTTCCCACAGTGGAGGACACACTGAACTAGTAAGGAATCAGGAGTCTTCCCCATCCCTACTCCATGACTCAGCTGTGTGACTCTGGGCAAGTCACTGGACCTTTCTGGCACTTCCTTTTTATCTTGTATGTAAAATGAATAGCGTGGAACAATTTCAGGCCCTGTGTACAGATGGTATTTAGAACAAGACTTAAATGAACTAGGTTTTGGACATTAGAAAAACACTGCATTCCCTAACTAATGTGACCTGAGAGACACCCCCTTTCCCTTTTGAAGGTGCAATAATAAAGAGAGCACATAAGTGGGAAGAACAAAGAAAGTCCAAGTCTTCCAATTTCCTAGTTTCTCTTCCCTCTCACACTTAGACATAAATCTAGCCACACAGCTGGTGCTTAAAGCAGCCTTCAAGTGTCAAGATAAAACCTCATTTTCCTCGCAATATTCCTTTTGTCACTCACCTTGATTTGCTTTCTGAATACAGCAAAGTTGTGAATTACCTTAACTTGGGTAATTTTGAATTCTGGGTCACCTAGAACACTGGTGTTCCTAATGTTAGTGGAATTTTCCAAGTAGCCCAGTTTCCCAGAAGAAAAAATAATTAATTTTTTCCCCAACCCAAAGTAAAGACAACCAAAAAGGAAGTCAAAAGAGGAACCTTTAAAAACTGCCCGTGTCTGTACAAATCATATTTATAGCACTCACAGAATATAGAACATGGGAGACAATGGTTTTTACCAAGCTATGAGAAAACCAGTGTCAAAGAATTCGGCTTTAAAAACTCTAATTTCCTTCCCTTGCATTACTGTCTCATCACCAGTCAATTGTGTCTTTCTGGAAGTGAATGGAACTTTTCTTTTTTTTTTTTTTCCTTTTGTTTTTTAATTTAAAAAAATTTTATGGCTTATTTTTGAGTGAGAGAGAGACAGACAGACAGACAGACAGCACTAGCAGGGGAAGGGCAGAGGGAGACACAGAATCCGAAGACAGGCGAAGACAGGCTCCGGGCTCTGAACTGTCAGCACTGAGCCAGACATGGGGCTCGAACTCATGAACCATGAGATCATGAGCTAAGCCAAAGTCGGATGCTTAACCAACTGGGCCACCGAGGAGCCCTAAACTTTTCTTTTGACCTTCTCCTATGCCCCCAGCAAATTTTACAAACACTACAAAAGCAGTTACCATATTATATTTTAATGTTTTTGGCTTGCAGATCTTGCTAAACTGCAAATCCCTAGGACAAGAGCTATATCAATTAGTCTTTATATCCTCAGCCGTTAAAAAAAAAATTGTAACACATTTGATGCTCTATAAACACCCTATAATACGGCAAGAACAACCATGTGCCAGGCCCTCAATAATCAACACTTGATGTGCAGTATTTATGTAATCCTCTCAGATAAATATAGAGCATCTCTTTGATGACAGAATAAATTTTAAGCCTCTCTGGACATCAGCCCTTTAATTTCACTCTCCATTCATTTCTCGATTACTTGCAAAGTTCTCTCATCCCCCATCCCTCCTTTCCAAAGAAGCCCTCCCCAGGAAAGAAAAAGTAGGGGACAATTTTCAGGATCTCTTTCTCTAGAGCTGAAGAGTCCCAGAACAACTTGTGAAAGGAAAGACAAAGAGATGAGACCTCTGATGTCATTTGGAGTACAGGAACCTTCCTGGCTGGCTGCTCTAAGACCTGCTCAAAGCTCTGTACACTCAGAAGACTTTGCCAGGATTCAATGAGGATGGAATTAAAGGGCTGGTGGTGAATGCTGAGAAGTCAGGCTGATTATCATGGAATTTCTAGGAAAGGGGAAGAACAATTTATTTTGGGGTGTTATTAACTTATAATCCTCTCAGAAGACACTAATCAGAATGTTTCCAGACAGCAAATACTACACCTATTTTACAGTAACAAATCAGTCGTGTGTACTGTAATTATCTTCAAAATGAGCTTAGAAGCAATAAACCTGAGTATGGTATGAATGATTCTCCAAGTCACTGTTGGCTAAAATTTAGGATAACAAGATAATTTGCTATCAAGCACTATTGGAGGAAGAGTTATTCAATCTACTCATATTGTATCAAATTTCTGAAAATAATGGATAAAATGCAATTATGATGATACTTTTGGTAAAGCTGGGCTCCACAAGGTCACCACTCAGGAAGCTTGGTTAATACTTACCATCATATGTCCTGTTGACAGAAAATGAATTAAAAAGGTCCTTACACAGCTCAAAAAATCTACTGTAACAGAAAAAAAAAATTAAGGATCTATTTTTCTGGGCTCATACAGTAACTAAAAACTAAATGGTGGGGAGCAGAGGGTGGAATGTGTAGGGGCAAATGGCCAAGGCAGATTCCACCAAAGCATTTACAGAAGGAAGACCAATTTCAATTCTGTGCAGTTCTTTGTTTCGGCATGAGTCTCTCCTACTGGGGAGAGCAGATGAGCTTGTCTTACCGGTTACTGATTAATCTCATTAGCTGCCTAGAAGTACTTGGAGAAGGCTACTATAGAAATGCTGGGCTCAGCTGGAGATTATCTATTATCTCTGATCTGTCGTGGATAAAAAAGGAAGGAGTGGCCATTGGCTATATACTTTCCATTTCTTTACTAAAGTGAATCGTGCCTGTTTCATCCCTGTATCCCCAGAATCAACCTGAGAGCCTGGTATATAGTAAGTGTTCAGTATTTCAGAATGAATAAATGAAAAATCAGACTTTTTTTTTTTTACCTTGGTTTCTAACAGGAGTAACAAAATTGGTACCATGAACATTTCTCCAGTCCCAAGATGCTGGCAAATGTAAAAGCTTTTCATGTATTTCAGCAGTCAGTGGTGCAGGTTTGGGTCTAGGACAGAAACAATACATTTGACATCAACATATATTCATTCCTTTGAGGATGATTTCCTAACCCTTAATTCCGTGATTTCAACTACACGGCTGCCTAGAATCTACATTCAGGCCCAAGGAGCACTTGTCCTATCAATGTTTCCATTATACAACAATGTGTCCACTAGGCCTGTTTCAACTACACAACAAAGTTCTATAAATGGCTTTACAAATGGCTTTTACAATTGGTTTCTTTTTCAGGGTTAGCAACTTTCTTCTATGAAAGGACCCTGGTTATGTACATCACTGAGATGCTATTTTTAGTATATTTCAATAGCTGCATTTTCTTAAACAGATTGTGACTAAGAAAGTAGACACATGGGAAGTTGAAGATGGCCTACAAAGGATACAGAGAAAATACAGGAACTACAGAGGTTTGACTCAGGAGATGGTTAGTGGTGATGGTGAGGTGGTTACAAAAGAAGTCAAGTAGCACAGAGATTAGAGATCAAGTCAAGTAGACGACTGGCTCCATAAACAAGATGAAAATGCTTCATCATTACAGAACTGTGCCTAATAGGATATGGTTGGAAAGCAAGACACAAAGAGAGGACTTGCCTGGGATGATGGATGAGGGACAGACACATTGTCCGGAAATGAGAAAACTGTTCTACAAGCTTCTCCATGTTAGCAATTTAAAACAAATAGCATTCCAGCTCTAGACACACTAGATTTCTTAGGAATTTTCCAGTCTGTGAAATGACTTCAGTGTTCCAGGTCTTCCTGCTGCCCCTTTTACCCCAAATGCCTGCTGCCTGCTGCTTAGAAGAAATCCCTTTAGAAGTTCTTCCCTAGCTTCTACTTTAAAGACCACTCACACAGCAGCGTCTACCCACCAGCCACCAACAAAAACTCACTTCTATGCTCCAGCAACTCTTTAGTTAGGGCACTACTATTACACCGTGATAACATGTATCTTTCTGATTATACACTATGTGAATTTCTCATTCAACTTGGCATTGCCATATCACACTGTTCTAACTTTTCAGTGCTCATCCGGTTTACCAGGTTCCAATTTAGTTACTGGCAAAGATTATTTCTGGGCTTCTTCATGTCTTCTGCAACTATTCCCAATCAATTCCCTCTCTCACTTCTTTTAGAGATGATGTGAGTCAATGCTAGGACACAATGGAAATGAAACAGAGGAAGAGGAAAAACAAAAACCACTCGTTAATAGCAATCATAACCTTCTGAAACTGTAAAGATAGCATATTCCATAAAGAAGTATCAATTTTTCACTAAAATGTTAACTAAGCCAGGACATTACTGGAAACTCTACGTGACAAGGAGATGAACTTGATGTGATCTGTGACCATATGAAAGACTGCATTAAGAGACATGAAACATATGGGGCGCCTGGGTGGTTCAGCTGGTTGAGCATTTGACTTCGGCTCAGGTCATGATCTCATGGCTTCTGAGTTCGAGCCTCACGTCGGGCTCTGTGTTGACAGTTCATAATCTAGAACCTGCTTCAGATTCTCTGTCTCTCTCTCTCTGTCCCTCCTCCACTCACACTCTCTCTCAAAATAAATAAATAAACATAAAAAAAAGATATGAAACACAGAGCAATTACAATAACACAAAGAAGTTGTAAGTTATAAAACATACAACTTAGATAATGTCAATGGAATGACCAAGGTACATAAAAAAGCTATGCACCATGAAAATTTTAGGGCAGGAGAAAAAAACAAATCAAGAAACAAATCTTGGATATTTCTTTCAAGATTTGTAAGTAAAAATTAGGTGTGAACAATTTTTGGAAGGAAATAAAGTTTCCATGATTTTGCACTGCAAGGATAAAAGATTCAATCAATACATATTAATTGTCCTGTATATACTTGAGAATACACTAAGTAATTTGAAAGATTAAAAAAGGAATTGGGGGCACCTGGGTGGCTCTATCAGGCGTCTTTTTTTCTTTTTCTTTTTTTTTTTTTTTAAGGCTTATTTATTATTGAGAGACAGAGAGACACAGAATGCGAGCAGGGGAGGGGTAGAGAGAGGGGGAGACACAGAATCTGAAGTAGGCTCCAGGCTCTGAGCTGTCAGCACCGATAGGCGTCTCTTGATCTTGGCTCAGGTCATGATCTCATGGTTCATGAGTTCGAGCCCTCCATCAGGCTCTGCACTGATCCTGTGGAGCCTGCTTGGGATTCTGCCTCTCCCTCTCTTTGCCCCTCCCTCATTCATTCTCTCTCTCCTCTCTCTCTCTCTCTCAAAATAAATACACAATTTTTTTTAAAAGGAAATTGAAGTTTGGCAGCAAAATCTAATTTCTGAGCAGATATCTTAGGTCATACTGACCTCCTACAAATGGTTTCACCACTTACTAGCTGTCTGACATTTGTGAAAGAATTTAACATCACAAAACTACAACTGACTCCTATTAAGATGGGTATAATCATACATACCTCAAACGATTACTATATAATTCAAATATGGTAATGATTACCAAGTGCTTAGAACAGCTCCTATCTCTGCAAATCCTTAGTAGATTAAGCTCTTATGATAACTCCCATCATCATCATCACCCATGCCATTAAGAGGATTAAATATGATGTGGATACCTTTATTTAAGCGATTGTCTGGCACAAAGCAGGCACTCAGATGTTAACTTCCTTCTTCCTACCATGCTATAAGGCAGAGTATTTGCCTGTCAATGCACAGACAGACAAAACTAAAAGAATGTGACAATAGAAGCTCGATGATGTGAAAATGAAGAGCGAAAGCCATTTGTGAGACAGGGAAGAATTACAAACATTATAGGTGCAGCACACATTTTGGGCTCTTAATCATTTGGGTCTAGATTCTTTAACTTTGGTGAAAGCTCTGACCTCAGGGAGATGACCATAACCAATACTTTTTCTATACTTTCAGCAGTTTCAATGACTCCCTGAACCTCAAGTTAAGGATCTGAGAGTTTCTATTATGTCATTGGATTCTTAGAACTAATTTATATACAAAAATGCTACTGAAAACCAGGCAGCCAGACCACAATGTCTGCTTCAGAATTTTCCATTTCACTCAATTCCATCTC